GAACAAAATTACAATATGTAACCAGCTAAATTAATCAGATTTATTTATACAGCCCTATGGCAACAGACACTAAACCACAGACATACATCTTCTCACACAGTGTGCGGCCTACAACACACACACGCCGCAACATTACAGCAGAAAGCAGTTCATAGACGACAGGTGATGTAATAGGATTTTTTCAAAGGAGAGAGGGAGATAAACGTCTCGCTGAAACTCACTGGCAGGACTAGAGGAAAGACAAAGATAGAGTGAGAGAGAGGGGGAGGAAAACGGTCACTTCTAGATAGACCTGGTCTGTCAGCCATCTTTTCTTTTTTTTCTTTTCTTTTACCAGTCAGTCTATTCCACCTGAAATGCTCAGGAGAGAAAGACTGTTGCTGTATATAGACAGTTTTATAAACAGGGCAGCTACTGGAGCGTTCAAAGATGTTCTGAAGGCTGTGGGTCGACCCTGATGTTAGATCTAAGGTTAGATTCTTTTGATTGGCTGCACAAGTGTTCACAAGCTCACAGATACAAACATTTGTAAACTAACAGGTCACATTCGTAGGACAAGATATTTTTATGAAATGGACGTACTGTACTGAAGACAGAGGAACATGACCTAATTACCCATGATTACCCATGAGTATGTGTTAGATTCAGGCTCAAAATACTTACAGAATATACATTTCTATTTTCTTCACAGAGTTCCTGTTATAAATGTTTTTCTTGTATTTCCTGTTTATTGTTTGCTTCTTGTTTATAATCTTTATTTTTAAACCTATGTCCTTTCTATTACAATGTCCTTTCCATTGTTAATTATATTCCCATGTACGGACAGTCGTAAAAATCATGTTGTACTGTATATGATTGTGTATAGTGTATGATTGTGGTTTTTTTTGTTTTTTTTTAATATACTAATAATGTGAAAACACTGAAAACAATCTCTCACTCACACACACAGACACACACAGACACACACAGAGAGAGAAGACCAGGACTAGGTCAGTTTATTTTAAAAGCAGTGTCTGTTTTCTGTTTATTCTCAAAGCAATAGCACGTGATTGGACGTTTAGTCTGGAACGAGGGGTCTGACCTTGGTGGATGAGCCTACATGCAGTTAGGGCTGGGCGATATAGCCAGCTGTGGCGGGTAACGCTGTCAAATCACTAGCCAATTTGGCGGATTACTTTTCGTAAATTATGTTCACTCATTAATTTCTTCGGGAAGTTCATGCAGGCCAAATCTGCGCAGGTTTAGCGCAAAGACTTAACTCGTGAGACATAATGACATTATCAAGTCTATTGCAAAAGCTAAACAAAACACGTTCAATTTCACAAAGAAATGTGCAGCATTTTGTCCAAGCAACAATAAAAGGACACATTTAATGATTAATTTGTCTTAAACCTCATTTTGTTAAAAAAATAATAATCGTGAATCGAATCGTGAAATCAAAATCGTGAATCGAATTGTGAGTTGAGTGAATAGTTACATCCCTATCGATAATTATTGACATTTTTTTATAACCTTTTTTAAAACAAAGAGCAATAGAATTTTATTTTTTTATTTAACCACTGTATTTTTAAATTAACCCAATTTATTGAGACAAACAACAAATATTTTTTTGTTTTAACAATCAAACACAATAAAAAATTTAACAAATATCTAATTTCTAATGTTTTATATGCAGACTAAATAGGTCTGAAGGAAACTTTTGGCTTGTCTCCCGAGGCGCAATGAGCAAAATAATGCAGCACATTTAAATTGTATTGCATAAACAATTATGAACAAAACAGCATCATGTATTTATGCATTGCTTAATACAAAGAGCCGAATCGCCGATCACACAGATTGCATTTAAAAACATAAGAGACGCAGTGAAAAGGAATAAACCTCCACAAATTCGCGACTTGTTTTCTAAAGGTTTAAACCGTTTTAACTTTGCATGGTTACATCCCGTGTGAGACGCGAGTGCAGCAGATTTGTCCGTCTAAAACTGCGCAGAATATTCATCTGTGTTAATGGCTTGGTTTCGGTTTTCACCTAATCAAGATCTTCTCCACATTGAGCTTCTATATTTCTCTAATATTTTGAATGCATAACACAGCAGCGGCGCATCTCGTGGGCTAGACTAACAAAACATTAAAATGCAACAACGTCACTTACATCA